TGCCAGACCCCATTCACAAAATGGCAGTACAATAGCCCCAATATTATACACCTGCTGATGGGATAGCCTCCTAAGGAGTTACTCAGAGGTTCCAATCTGTTATGGGGTCCACCCCTTTTTCATATAAGTGGACTCTACCAGTGCACCTGGACTCCTGCCGTTAAATACCCAGAGTTACAGTCAGTGAGGGTAGTCGGATAGGGAGACGTCAGTCGATGTCGGACGACCGGCTGATCGGTTGAATTCTCTGCCTTCGGGCGGGGAGGAACCCGAACGAGGCTACGCCGAAGGGCGGATTCTCTTTCGGGGAGGTAAACTGGCCCTGAACCCGTTTATACGGGTTAAATGGGCATATTTTTGGCCGAGCCCACGTGCTCGGAGATCCCACATTAAACCGGCCTTGTGCCACATGATACCCTCGTGGCGGGGTGACTAAATACTAGTCGGATAGAGAGAGGATATGCGGAGAGTGAGAGAATATACGAACGGAGATAGTGTGAGGTAACCTCTTGTAGAAGTCAGTTACAAGCACGTAGACTCTAAGTTAGTCCTACCTCTAGACTGTAAATATATATCTGTATTTGCTACTAACCTCGTTCCTGGACTTACTAACAGTATTACTCTTTGTATGATTGTGTAAATACATGTTATTTCTTATATTTAATTATTGCGTTTGTCATTCCTTGGAGACCGAATTCATCTCGGAATCCACGACACAATCCCTTATAATCAATTTGCTAACGACAACCCAGAAGACGTTTACGTCCACCATCCTTTAATGGTGGATAAATCCATGTAAGAAGAATATGCAAGCAGACTGCCCCAGAGCGAACACGCTTCATCTACCAAGAATTTAAATCAGAGGAAATTGTCTGTGGGTGGGAATCATCGTGGCTATTCAAGGTAGATGGGTTAATGTTCAAATGGCTGTGAAAGAAGAGGTGATTAGAAGGGAATATTATGAGGATAAGGAGAGTAGATAACCTTAACTGGAAGAGCCTAAAATTTCAGTGTTCGCGCGAGCATCCACACGGGAAACTGTTCCATTAGTTTTGGAGAAGAATCTGTCTCAGTCAAATGTCCCTCTTACTTTTGAAATACGAGGTTACTCGTCTCCATGTAACTATCATGATGAGTCCTGTCTGGAAACAGGATTAAAGAATGGAACACATTTGAACATTTGCCGTGGAAATAGCGACTGAGTCGCGACAAGCATGCGACGATGCGTCTTTTGGAAAAAAAAAGTTGAGATTTGGTTTGGTTTGTTTTACGGCATATCAACCTCAATGGGTTATTTAATGCCGACAAGATTTTTTTTTTCAAAAATATATTGCTGGTAATTTTTTTAAATGTATAGCTGGTAATATTTTTTTAAAATGTACTGCTGGTAATAATGTATTGCTGGTAATAATTTTTCTTCAAAAAATTATTGCTGGTAATGATTTTTTACAAAATATTTCTGGTATTAAAACCTATTTTAACACTTTCATAGTGTTTTTCCCCTAGTTTGGGGGTTACCAATATGCCCATAGCTGCAACCCTAACAGGTGCTACCACCTCGGGTCATGGTGGACTTGGGAACAGCAGCAATTAAGAAGTGGTTCCACGCTCTTCAAAACCTCCTGATCTCATCATCAAGAGGGGTGGACGTAAACTTCTCCTAGGTTGACGTTAGCAGATTGATTATAAGGGATTCGAACCTCAGAGTAACTCCTGAGGAGGCTATCCCATCAGCAAGATGCCTTGCTGTTGGACGTAGTTTATCGTCTTACTCAGGACTCAGATGTAGTTTATCGTCATACCCAATACGGAAGAAGTGGAGAACAAGTCTTCTCCAGGTAAGACGACGTAAACTACTTCGAACTCTATCAAGGAATGGCTTTTTTTTGTGTGTGCAGCAAGATGACGGCCTCACGAAACTGTCCTGGTCTAGGCTTGCCCAACGTTACGCAGTACCTGATTACATTAGCTATTATCTAACTTTCTTCATTATGCGCCCTTGTGCGTTTCTCGTATAAATATATTGACGAATTCAGCAGAACGTAAAACCAAATTCGGCGTGTATCATGCTTTACCGTGTTACTGTATATATCTTTTTTACGTGCAGTGTCCCTTCAGGATGTAGGCGATCGTGGCTCTCCACAATTTCCTGTCCTTCGTACCTCTTAATAAATTTTGTCTTTTTATGTCTCCTAAAACTTTTTCCACCATCCATTTACTTAAGCTTTCTAAGTATGTTATGCATTGTTTTCCTCTGTCCCTCTTTCCTTCAATCTGTCCTGTGAGTATCAGATTTTCCAAGCCCACTTTCCTTATTATGTGACCTAGAAATTTCAACTGTCTCTTCCTGATGTTAATGATAAGTTTCCTTTTAATTTCTATTCTCTCTAAAATGCTGTCTTTGCTCTTATGTTTGGTTTATGTTATCCTCAGCATCCTCCTGTAGAACCATATTTTTCCTGCTACAAGTCTCTTATTCATCTTCATCTTTCAGGAGATCGTCCAGCATTCACTGCCATATATCAGATTTTCTAAGACCTCTTTCTTCATTATGTGCCATAGAAATATCAACTGTCTAGTCCTGATGTTATGGTATATCGTTTGAGGAAAGTCCTTTGGCCTTACTTCCGCTGCTTCAGTGTGTGAGCGGAAATCGGAACAGGTGATACCATAAACAGGAAATGCATCCGGTGGCTAAAATAAACAGGGCGCACAGGTGTCCTGATCCTAGAATAAACATTGGTCACTGATATACCGAAATAAGAAGTAGCCACGTGAAGTTGCGTTGGTGTCCAAATGTTATTTAGCCGGTCCGATTTTTGATCTGGACAGAGAGGGTGGCTAGAGATTCACCGAAGTCTCCGTTAATTCCTGCGCGCACAATCCTAACTTCTGTGATTCTTTCTTACGCTAACCATTCGCCGAAACTTGAACAATAATTACTTATATATATATGTGTGTATGTGTGTGTATGGGTTTGTGTGTGTGTGTGTTTGTCGCCTTATTTGAGCCCAGCAGCAATATACTACAATGTTAAGTATGTTTCCTTTTTGTTTCCATTTTTCTAACTTCTTCCTCTATGTGGCGTGTCCCCTCAAAGCGTAGGCGATCATGACTCTCCACAATTTCCTGTCCTTTGCAGCTCTTAAAAAATTTTGACTTTTTGTTATCTCCCCAAAACCTTGCTCTGCCATCCATATACTCACACTAAGTATATTTGTTATTTTCCTCTGAACCCCTTTTTTGAATTTATCTTGCGAGTATTACATTTTCCAAGCCCTCTTTCCTCATTATGCACCATAGAAACTTCAACTGTCTCTTTCTGGTGTTAAATATATGTTCCTTCCTCAGTATCCTTCTCTAGAACCACATTCTGTTACTTCAAGTCTCTTTTCCATCTGTGAAAAGATTGTCCAGTATTCAGTACCATGTAGGAGGGCTGATATCACGTGACAGTTCATTACTGTTTTCTTTGTTTCTGTTGCTTCAAATCTCTTCATCATCTTTTGCAGATATTCTCCCGCATTCACTGCCATACAAGAGGACATATATCACACTGTCCTATAGGGGTTACTGAGTGTCAAAAAATATGAGAAAAATACTAAGGAGAGAAGACAATAAAAGAACAAGAATTAAGAAGACAGAAGATAACGATTGACATTGCATTTAAATTTTTGAAGATCAAAGGCAATAAAGCCACTAGGACAGAAGGGGTTACTGAGTGTTAGAGAATATGAGAAAAACTACTATTAAGAAGAGAGGACAATAAAAGAACACGAATTAAGAAGACAGAAGATAACGATTGACATTGCATTTAAATTTTTGTAGTTCAAAGTTGACTGGAAAGCAAGAAACTGGAAGAGAGTTCCACAAGCAAGAAGTGCAAGACAAGAAACTGTTAGCATAGAACTTACGGTTAAATCTAACCATTTCAAGTGTAAAATGATGAGACCTAGCTGCCAATCTAGTTCTGCACTTAAATTCATAAAGCCTAGCTACCAAAACGGAAAGCTCATCCGAATAATTACCATGACACAGATAAGCTACGTTACGGCGGTGGAAAAGTGACTGAAGCTGAGATGCCAGGTCAGGAGCAATAACATTGCAGATTCTTGTTTGGATTTTATCAAGAAACTCTAAATACACAGAAGTACCAGATGTACCAGTAATATTCGATACATGGTAGACTTTTAAAAGTGTAAACTAGATTCTAGCAAGAAAAATTGAGACAAATGCAAATTTTTAATCAGCTAATCGAGTGACAGCAATTTAAAATGTATAGGCCTGCTGAATTTCATTTCATGCATTAGTATGGGAAAGAAAGGCATTTTAATTGACTTTGAACCTGGCATAGTCGTCGTTGCCAGACAGACAAGTTTAAGTATTTCAAAATCTGCTGATCTATTCGGATTTTCACGCACGGTCATCTCTAGGGTGAACAGAGAATGGGCAGAAAAATAAACTAAACCCACGTGAGCTGCAACTGAATGGTTGGAGGTCTCATGATGATATAAAGAAGTAGAAGAAGATTGGTCAGACTTGTCCAAGTTGATAGAAACTTGAAGCAGATAAGCTACAGCAGCCGAAGACCAAATCGGATTCCAGTCCTATCTGATAAAGCTAAAATTTACTAAGGATTACAAAAATTAGACAATAGAAGATTGGTAAAACGTTGCCTGGTCTGATGAGTTTCGATTTTTGCTGTGACATATATGCTGATTAATTGATTCGTTTTCTGGAATTATCAAACTTTTGCATGTTATTCAAAGCCAGAAAATATTTTTTATGTTGTGAGAATTGTGTCTGGAGAGGAAATAATAATGATTTAGTGTTACGAGTCTTACTAATTAACCCATATCTCGGGAGAGAAGAGCTGGAGTCATATCTTTCCTATGGGTATTTGCGCGTCAGTAAATGTAACGAAACAAACTGCAAATGCAACTCGAATCTTTGATTAACAATTCCGAGCCATTATCCGTTACACCAGCCCTACATCCACGCTTACAGCACCTGTTATTCCCAAGCGGTCATCCATCTAGGTACTGCTGAGGCTAGACGTTGCTTACCTTCGGTGATCGCCCACGAACCGGTGTTTTCAATGTGATGTGGCCATAAGACATACCACCCGCACATCCAACCTTTAAGTGCCTGGTATTCACAAACGGTCACCCATTTAGACGCTGACCAGTCTCAACGTTGCTTAGCTTCGGGGATCTTACGGGAATCGGTGTTTCAATGTGACGTGACCGTAAGCCATTTCTAACCACATATACAAGTTTAAAGCACCTGGTATTCCCCAGCGATCACCCACCTAGGTACTGACCTGGCTCAGCGTTGCTTAACTTCGGTGATGGTGAGGGAACTGGTGCTTCAATTGGTATGGCCGTAAGCCCTTTATACCACTCATACTTCCAAGATTATTGCATTTGGTATTCCCAAGCGGTCACCCATCTATGTACTGACCAAACCCGACGTTGCTTAACTTCGGTTCCAACATGATATGGTCGTAAGCCCTTTACACCACCCGTACATCCAAGCTTATTGCACTTGGTATTCCCAAGCAGTCACCCATCTTCGTACAGACCAGGCTTGACGTTGCTTGACTTCGATGATCGTGCAGAAACTGATGTTTCAACGTGATATGGCCGTAACTACTTTATACCACCCTTTCATCCAAGCATACTGCACTTGGTATACCCGAGTGATCACCCATCTATGTAATTACCAAACCCGACGTTGCTTAACTTCATTTTCAACATGATATGGCCGTAAGCTCTTTATACCATACGTACATCCAAGCTTACTGCACTTGGTATTCCCAAGCGGTCACCCATCTTGGTACAGACCAGGCTCTACGTTGCTTAACTTCGATGATCGTATGGGAGCCGGTGTTCTCAACGTGATGTGACCATAAGCTTTTAGCTTTCACATTGGACCAGGATTTGTTATAAACATGAAAGTAAGGATACCCCTCGCGTCGTATCAACGTTTCCACAAGCTTCTGATGGTTTAATGGTACAGGGACTATTTTCTTGATGTACATTAGGATCGTTTGAATGCCGGAGCCTACTTAAATATTGTGACTGACCATGTGCCGAAACGAAGAGCATCTTCCTTCGGTCTCACGTATTCCACTGACTTGAAGTGAAATTAGTATATTGAATCAATTGCTATATCTACTGTTAGGAAAGCTGGTTCACTTTTTTTTTATCGCCAGAATCCAGCCTTCACGTGTATAAATCTATTATTCTTCCGTGCATCCAATATTGCTGCTGTCCTATCTAGTCTGGTGCTCCTGCTATATCTAGAGATTCTTGACAAAATCCAAAGAATGGTCTGTAATGTCCTGAATTGGCATCTCGGCTTCAATCACTTTTCCACCGGCGTAACGTGGCTTTTCTCTTTCTTTTCTATATTTTTATGGCAATTATTCTGATGAGCTATTCTCCTTAGTGCCTCGTCTGCATGAATTTAAGCATACTACTGGATTGGCAGTTAGGTCTCGCCGTTTTACTGTTGAACTAGCTAGATGCAACCATAAGTTCTATCCTAATAGTTTCTTTTCACGCCTATAAAATTCACTTCCGCTTTCTTGCTTCCCAGCCACCAGCAATCTTCAAAGATTTAAATGCAGCACCATTCACCGTCTTCTGGTTTTCGGAACACTGTTCTTTTATTGTCTTTTCTCGAAAGTTTTCTCATTCTTTTTCACTCCTTGTATCCCCTTACGTCTTGGTGGCATTATCGTCTTGCTTGGGATGAAATACCGGCAGTATCACTTTTGTTTCCCCAAATGCATTTAGGCGAAGCAAACCCCACTGAGTTGGTCTGTGTTTTGATTGTATATTTGACGTATAAAAAAACTTTATGATTGTTTTTTTCTTGATATTGCTCATCATTAGGTTTGTTATTGCTTAGGTTCGTGCAGGTCCCACGTTGTCTTTTGAACGGGTGTAGTGGTTTATCCCTTGTTTCCTGTTTAGACACGGTTTCTTTCTAAAGCTTTTCCATTCTCTTTCATTCTCGCTGACCCTTTGTAGCTTTGTAGCTTTGTAGCATGTTATGTTCCGACAATCTTCGTCGGAACTGTTATATTCCGTGCTAAGCGAATAAATAAGTAGCACCAGGTGGATACTAGAAGAAAGGTTTATTGTACAAAACAAGTACAATATGAAATACGGTACAGTTAGACACACAGGTTAATCTAGTAGTGAGTGCCACTAATTGGAAGGTCGGATGTGCTTGCGTCTTCTCTCTTTCACTCCTTTCATCTCTCTGTCTTGAGTCTCTCGTAGACATTGGACTTTATAGGTACTTACTACCTATAGTAATGGGGGTGCTGGGTTATTCCATTACATCATAGCGTTATCAAATTGCTTGGGGTAGTGCCTCGAGCTGCTCTTAGGGCTTGTATAAGGTAAATATAATTGTAAAAAAAGGTTTGTAGACCGTCTTGGTAGCGTTTCGATAAATACTGGTGCTTATTTTATTTAGTAGGATTCGTGTAGTCAGGATTGAAATATAACTGTATTTTTTATTTTCAAGACCCGTACATTTCTTCTGATTTGTCTTTGATTACATAATAAAATCAACATTGTTTTTTTTTTTATATGTTTGTTTTTGGGGATTTTTTTTTCTTTTTTGCCTTTCACAACATTGCAACACATAATAATATATTGTCTTGCTTTATTGTTTAGGTCTATATTTCTGAGATGAGGTATTATAATTACTTACATTATTCCGACTGTTGACCACATTTTTTAAATATTCACAACGTTTCGGCTGCTGTACGCTCCTAGAGCGTACAGCAGCCGAAACGCCGTGAATATTATATACAATATACATATGTACATACGTTCTTCGGGTGGTTGGAATTTCGAACTGAACCATTTATTCCATTCACTGGAGTAGATTGTTATTCTTCCACGTGCCATGCCTCTTCCAGATGTCTCAGTTATCTCTTTTTAAGTCAAAGCTAAATCATTATCTTCAGAAATGCAGTAGCCAGTTATTGAACTCACAACTTTTATCCACTGGGCCATGTGTCCTCAAGTGGACAAAATCGTCGGTTGACACTCGTGACTGGAGCCAGAGTTGAGAGTTCTGCTGTCTCCTTGCATCCTATTCTTTTTATTTCTCCTCAGCAAGGTTATCTCACTTTCCTTCTTGCATTCCTCTCAACTACGATCTTCAAAAGGTTAAATGCAATGTCTATCGTCATCTTCAGTGTCCTTGAGTCTTGTTCTTTCTATTGGATATTTCTCCGCTGTAATTTTTTCTCCATTTCTTTCTTGATTTCCTGTTAAATAAGACCGCCAGAAATTTACATGCATTGTCAATCGTCATCTTACGTGTTCTTGAATCCTTTTCGTTTTGTTGTCCTTCCTCCTCAGTAAGGTTTCCCCATTTCTTTTTGCTTTCCTGCCAACTACGGTCCTCACATCTTTAAATGCAACGTCAATTGTCATCCTCTGTGGTATTCAATCCTGTTCTTTTTATTGTCCTTTTTTTTTTCAGTAACTTTTTATCAGTTTCCTTCTTCCTTCCCTGTCAACTACGATCTTCAAATCTTTAGATAAAACGTTAAGTTATCATTTTCTGTGGCCTTAAATCATGTTCTTTTTATTCTCCTTTCTCTTCAGTAACTTTTTATTAATTTTCTTCTTGCTTTCCTGTTAACTACAATCATTATAAATGCAACGTCAATTGTCATCTTCCTCGGGCTTGAATCCTCGTCTTTTTATTGTTCTTCTCTTCAGTAACATGTCATCAATACCCATCTTGCTTTCCAGTCAATTAGGATTTTCAAATCTTTAAATGCAACGTCAACTAACATCTAATGCCTTAAATCCTGTCCTTTTTATTGCCTTTTCTCTTCAGCAACTTTTTATCAATTTCCTACTTGCTTTCCTGTCAATTAGGATCTTCAAATCTTTAAATGCAACGTCAATTGTTATCTTCTGTGGCCTTGAATCCTGTTCTTTTTATTGTCCTTTCTCTTCAGTAACTTTTTATCAATTTCCTACTTGCCTTCCTGTCAACTACGATCTCCAAGCCTTTAAATGCAATGTCAATTGTTATCTTATTTATCTTTGTATCCTGTTTTTTTATAGTCTTTTCTCTATAATAATGTTTTTTGTTTCATTCTCAGTAACCCTCTTCTTCACTTTATTGTTTTGCGTGTCGTCAATATCTCATTATCTCACTAGTCACCAAGTAAAAATCTTAAAGTTTTCCAAATATTAACCTATTCATATTAGCAACTTTATACGGAATTAACAACAAGATTTGAAAAAAAAAAGTTGTATGCTTTTATATTTGCCTGGTCCAATCTCTGTTCTTCCAATACGTCCTGAATAAATGGCGTTTTCTTAATTCCCCTCCTCTACTGCAATCCATATCCGCAAATTAAAGCGCATTCCTGTCAATGGAATTTTTCTTTTTAATAAACATAACAAACCTTATTTACATTCGGACTACCGTTAGTCTCCAGAATTTATCTTATATATCTATAAGTCTACCATTCGTCCATTCTTAGAATATTGCTGCCACATATGGACCGGTGCCGTTGCTATTTACCTTGAGCTCCTTGATAAAATCCATAGCAGAATCAGCAATATTATTATCCCTGACCCGGCATCTCAGCATTTACATATGGACCGTTTCCTATGCTATTTATTTTGAGCTCCTTGATAAAATCCAGAGCAAAATATGCAATATTATTGTTCCTGACCTGGCATATCAGTTTTAGTCAATTGCTCACCGCCGTAAAGTCGGCCTCTCTGTGTCTTTTCTATAAATACATTTATGATAATTGTTCTGATGAAGTCTTTGCAATGGTGACTAAACTTTTTTTAAGACAGGCGTCTAAATCTCACCAGTCGACAATTGAACTGGGTAGATGTAGCCAGAACTTCTATGCTAAAAGTTTCTTTTCTCGCACTTCTCGCTTGTGGAACTCCCTTCCGGCTCCATGCTTTGCAGCCAACTTTAATCTGCAAAAATTTAAATGCGATGTCAATCGTTATCTACTGTCCTCCTGATTACTCTTTTCTATTCCCGATCATTATTAATATTTCTCTTCCTAATTCTTCCACAACCTGTGACCCCCATGTGTTTTAGTGGCTTTACTACATTGCATTGGATGATACCGATTTCTAAAAAAAATAGCAACTTTGTTGTTGCTATCATAAAGTTTCGACCTTTTTTACGTGCCCATTGCTTCAGGGATTTCATACTTGGGAAATTAACAAATGAATCCACCTCATGTTGCCCCAGCTATGGGTTAAATAGTAGAACTTTTAATCATTATAGTCCTTCAAAATTCTTAAAATCTGAAATGAGTAAAAGCTAATTAATGTCAGTTTTATTAAATGAGAAAACCATAATAGATCATTTCTTCCACAAAAGACTTGAGACCACAGATGTGATTCTACAGAAGGATGCTGAGAATAGATGGTTGACCGTTTAGGAATAACGTGCTGTAAGCTGGATATTAGGGTCGTCTAATGGATAACGGCACGAGATTGGAGAGTCGAGTTCCAATTCACTTCATCATATTCACATATGCACTAATAACTTTGGGAAAGGTACGAATAATAGGACTCGTATCATATCACCAAAATAATTATTGGAACTTAAAAATATTTTCTGGCTTTAAATAACCCTCAAAAGTTTGGTATGCCGTAACAAACATATCAATCAGTCAATTATTCTAATGATCTTTCATCTTTCATACTTCGACTTCAAGTAATGAAGCGTAGTACTAGATTGACAGTTAGGTCTCATCATTTTAATGTTGAAACTGCTCGATGTAACCGAATGTTCTATTCCAATAGTTTCTTCTCTTGCACTTCCGGGTTTGTTTGTTTTTTTTGTTTTTTTTTTTTTTTTTTTTTGGGGGTTGTTTTTGTT